CAGAGGAGGTTTGCCTTTGCCTTCCCCTGAGGCTGAGAGCATGTGACTGGGCCAGGCTCACCCAGTGGGTTTCATGGCAAAGCTGGGATTCAAACCTTGGTCTCCAGAGTCCTAGTGCAACACTCAAACCACTATGCTGGCCCTCAGGAACAGGGGTCAAAACCCCATTGAGCCATGGAAATCCATTGGGTGACCGTGGGCATGTCACACTCTTTCAACCTCAGAGGAAGGCAATAGCAAACCCCCTCTGAACAAGACTTATCAAGAAAACCCTGTGATATGTTCACCTTAGGCTCCTCATAAGTTGGAACAACTTGAAGGGACACAACAACAACTCATTGAAGCTTCAATCCAGCACCCCCAACCTCAGTGTAGCACAAGTGTCTACGTAGAGAAATGCACTGTATTAGCACTACACAATCCCCATGCAAAATAGCAAAATTGTAGCAGAAATGTAAATGAGTGGGTATTATTTTGCGATTCACAACAGCAATGTGCAGTCACAATGCATAGTGCATGGTTCATAATCCCAACATGCAACACTGCTGCAAGCAAAACTATGCTTCCACAGTACATATGTTGCACTATGGCAAACAATTTGCTCCATTCGCATACTATAAGTTAAAGATGTGCATATTACTAAGAGAATGTCATTGTGAGAGTCATGCTATGCAACATCACTGGAGGATCTCAACAAACTGCTTACATATTGAAGGGTTGCTGTGGGTAGATGTCCATCAATATGTGCCTGGTGTGGATTTTAACACTTTAGCGTGGTGCAAATGGAGTCATACCAGCTCGGAACAGTGCAATGTAAAGCTGCATTATTTTGTAAGTGTAGATCAGCCAGCATGGTGTAGTGGTTTGAGTGTTGGACTATGACTCTGGAGACCAGGGTTTAAATCCTGGCTCAGCCTTATAAACCAACTGGGGGACCTTGGGCAAGTCATACTCCCTCAGTTTCAGAGGATGGCAAAGGAAATCCTCTCCCTACCCTGAACAAATCTTGCCAAGAAAACC